GGCACAGCTGGCATGCGTTCTGGCTGGTAGGGAAGTGGCCTCCCGCCCTGGCTGCCCCTGAGTCGCTTCTTTTTTGTTTTTTTTGTATAAACTCAGCCTGGCCCCATTTCAGAGTTCCTCGGTTTGATTTGTGTTCAGAAAACGCCCTCCCTCCCTTCCGTTTCTGTCTTTAAAAAATAAAATAATAAATAATAATAATAATAACATAATAATCTGGCCACTCAGTGTATATATATTGATTTCCGAGAGGAAGAGAGAAAGAGAAACATCAGTGATGAGAGAATCACTGATCGACTGCCCCTCACCTCCCCTTACCCCCGCAAGTCCCACACCACACACACCACACCCCGGATGGAGCCTGCAACCTGGGCATGCGCCCCGACAGGGAATCGAACCCCTGACCTCCTGGTTCATAGCCACTGAGCCACACCGGCTGGGCCCCAGTTTCTTTTCTGTTCTCTCCCCAATGGATCCGTCCCAGAGACAACTGACTTCCCTGTGTCCTTCCTGAACCAGAAAGTGCTGACATGCTGCTGGGGGCGGGCAGATGTGAGTGAGCATTATTCCCTGTGAGTCTCGGGGGTGGTGCACACACACCCCAGAACTTGCGTGCAGTCCGCGGTAGTAAGAGATTTCCAGGTGAGGCCAGCACACGAAGGGAATGAGAATTCATCTTCATACTCGGGATCAACACCCCTAGATAAACCTTCACCAGGGAGGGGACCTAGATGTCTAGGAGGGGGTCATTCATGATGGACTCAGACACTCTTTTGAGCTCTGGTCCCAGGCGTGTTTGCAAATGATCATTCCCCCTGTCACGGGCAACGAGCCCCGAAATTCTTTCTGACTGGAAGGGAGTTAGGAGACACGGCGTAATTTTCTCTTCCTTTTCTGAGGAGAGAGAGAGAGAGAGAGAGAGAGAGAGAGAGAGAGAGAGAGAGAGAGAGACCCTGCAGCCATGGCCATCTCTGCATCAGAATTGCCCAGACCTCTATTTCTGCCTGTGATCCCACTGATCTGAGTTTGAAATGCGAGCGCAGCCGAGCCCCTAAGCCCTCGCCTTCAATCGGGTGAAATTTTCAAAAGATCTCGACAAGCAGTCGGGGCCGCCTGACCCCTGGCGCGGTCCCTTTATTCCTCCCGCTGCCAGCACTTCGTTTGCCGGAGTATCTTTCAGATGCGCGCCTCCGGATGACAAACCCGGGGCCTGTGATGTGGACATGAATGGGCGATCCGAGCTGCACAGAAAGCACCGTCTTAAACGTAATATTGAGTTTCCCCGGGCCGGAGTGTCTGCTTCTTTATTTGTTTTTCATTAGCTTACATTTTCCCCCAGGTCTCCCCAGGTGGCACTTTGATATTTACATGATTCCGGCTTTTAATCATTTCCCCACTCCCCCCCTGGAAAAATCCACACTGTCACTGGTTACTGTGTCACTCACTGGTCACTGCGCTTGCTTTTAGCCCGCAGCGGGGGCTGGGGCTGGGGCTGGACCCGTGACCAATCTCCATCTCCTCCCAGCTCTCCCCTTGCGGGCCTTTCAAATGTTTTCTTATATTATTATGATTTTTTAAAAATATATTTGTATTGCTTTCAGAGGGGGAAGGAGAGAGATAGGAACATCAGTGATGAGAGAGAATCATGGATCGGCTGCCTCCTGCCCGCCCCACACTGGGGATGGAGCCCCCAACCCGTTTCCTTATTATTATTATTATTATTATTATTTTAAAACAAAAACAAAACCTTTTGCATGGGAGCTGGGGCAGCCTTAGCTGCTGGGAGTCGCGCCACCGTCCCACCGCTGAGGTCTCTGGCCTGGCCTCAGGCTCAACGCCCCCCCCACCCCCACCCCAAACACTCAGACCCGCTTCCCTCCCTGGCATCCCTTCCTACTGCTTTTCTGGGGAACCCCTAAATCCTGGGGGTTTGAGGGCACCAGAGGGAAAGGGGCTGTGAGTGTGGCGCTTTGTTAACACGTCTCCTGCCAAATAATTTCCTAGACACGATTTGGGGGAGGGGAGGCCGCCCAGCCCTCCCTCCAGCTCAGCCCAGGTGGAGACGGAGCCGCACCCCTCCCTGCGTCAGCGGGCAGTGACTCACCCTCATTCCCCAGCCCAGGCCCGAGGTGCGAGGCTGCAGCCTGCACCCTCCCCGCCCCTCGGGGTCCGGACGGGGCCTGTGGATGAACTTAGTAAACCCCCTCATCGTTATTTTCATTCGCCTCGAAAAAAATAAATAGTTTGGGCGGCCTGGCGCCTGTTTGTACGTATCCATCCCCCTCCCGCATCCAACCTGCGTTAAAACAAATGTTACTTTTCTCTCTCGGGCGCGCACAGTCCCTCCCTTCCTGCAACCATCCCGGCCCGGCCATTAGATCGAATGGCAAGTCTTTATGGGAAGCGCTTTGCATAATTACACAGCGAAGCCAGCGCGGCCACCTCCACGTTTTCTGGGTCACAAGCCAGCCACAATCGCCACATTATTGTCCGGGAAACCTTAGTCCCTTGGGCGAGGGAGCCGGCTCCCGGGCCTGGCCTCGAACCGGGGAGGGTGGAGATCTCGCCCACGAAGGACCCGGACCCGTGTCCCCACCGACCACGTGTTTACATAGAAAGTTCAGGACCAGGCGGGGCGCCCCCTCCCCCCCAGACTCCGTCCCCCTAATTAAGATCTTCTCATGCCCACCGACGGCTCCTCTGGCCACTGAGCCGTATTCGCTCCTTTGATGTCCAACTTTTGACAGTCATCACACGGGCGCTGGGCAATTTAGCACAAAAGCCCTCCTTTGAAAAATAATGATAATAAAAATGCAAGCGAAGCCCCACGGCTTTGAAGAAATCGAATGAGGGTGATGCTTATCGCCCAGCGACGGCGATCGCACCCGCAGGCCCCATCGGGGCTGGAGCCCCCGCGGAAGG